TCAGGCGAACCTGATTATTTTCAATTTGAGCTGTGTAATGTCTTCATGCACTATATTAACCAGCAACATATACACAATATTTACCCATCTGCATAAATCTCACAAGTGTTATCCGATTATAGCATCAAAAATTATTAAAATAGACCTTGTAGTTACAGAACTGTGGTCTCCTTCGTATGGGTATGCTATTTTCGAGCAGAGGCCTACAAATAGGGCTAGAGCTTAAGAGGTTTTAAATGCATGAGGTGGTCTTTAATGATGAGGTCATCAAACACCACAGAAGAAGAAACCAGGTGTAACGAGGACTCTGATGTACCCTCTGGATTCAAGGACAACTGGACCTGGACTCAGACTGGTCTGTCCTGGATTATGGAACTGGGTTTGATGGACAGACGTCTTTCTACACATGGACTTCCTCCTGGTCCACGTGTCGGGGGAGTAAAGTCGGGTTTCTCTCCAGAGACTTTAAACCACCAGCAGCAGCAGGACCAGATTATTGTTATTATCACGATTATTATCATCATCGTTATTATTATTATTGTTATTATGTAAATATTATTATTATCAATTATTATTGTCGTTATTATTATTGTTATTGTTGTTAGTAGAATTACACGTTTGATTAATTTATTTACAATAAAGTTGTTCGACAAAATAAAGTGTTCGAAAAATGTTTGTTTCTGGACCTTATTACTGCAAGTACTTTAACTACTACTGCTACTACTTCAGCTAGTACAACTACAAGTACTTTATCTTCTACTACTGCTACTACTTCAGCTAGTACAACTACAAGTACTTTATCAACTACTACTGCTACTACTTCAGCAAGTACAACTACAAGTACTTTATCTTCTACTACTGCTACTACTTCAGCTAGTACAACTACAAGTACTTTATCAACTACTACTGCTACTACTTCAGCTAGTACAACTACAAGTACTTTATCTACTACTACTGCTGCTACTACTTCAGCTAGTACAACTACAAGTACTTTATCAACTACTACTGCTACTACTTCAGCTAGTACAACTACAAGTACTTTATCTTCTACTACTGCTACTACTTCAGCTAGTACAACAACTACCACTGCAAGTACTTTATCTTCTGTGTTCATGGCTCAAGCTTTATGCAGGACTAGAGCTTCAAGTCAAGACCAGCAGGTCCCACATTAAAACCAGCAGGTCCCACGTTAAAACCAGCAGGTCCCACGTTAAAACCAGCAGGTCCCACGTTAAAACCAACAGGCCCCACGTTAAAACCAACAGGTCCCACGTTAAAACCAGCAGGTCCCACATTAAAACCAGCAGGTCCCACATTAAAACCAGCAGGTCCCACATTAAAACCAACAGGTCCCACATTAAAACCAACAGGTCCCAAGTTAAAACCAGCAGATTAATCCATGTTACATAACAACAGAGTTCAGAAAAGGAAATAAACCGAAAACATGTAACAGGAAAATACATTAATGTGAGAAACATCCTGTGAAACATTCATCACAAACACTGCAGGTCAAACACAGAATCACTGCAAAAACTATTAACAAGTCGACCTCCACGGACCCAGAACTTCCTGTATGGAGGGAAACAGATGGATGACGCACAGAGGAGGAGGTTAGAGCCAAGACTCTGGGTCTTTGTGGATGGTGGATCAAGGCCACATCCAGGACTTCAACTGAGCATGACTGAGCATGTTAATGCAGTCCACCACGTCAACATAAGGTCCACCTCGTCAACGCGGTCCCCACCGTCAACATAAGGTCCACCTCGTCAACATAAGGTCCACACCGTCAACATAAGGTCCACCTCGTCAACATAAGTTCCACCTCGTCAACATAAGGTCCACCTCGTCAACATAAGGTTCCCACCGTCAACATAAGGTCCCACCCGTCAACATAAGGTCCACCTCGTCAACATAAGGTCCACCTCGTCAACATAAGGTCCACCACGTCAACATAAGGTCCACACCGTCAACATAAGGTCCACACCGTCAACATAAGGTCCACCTCGTCAACATAAGGTCCACCTCGTCAACATAAGGTCCACACCGTCAACATAAGGTCCACACCGTCAACATAAGGTTCACCTCGTCAACATAAGGTCCACCTCGTCAACATAAGGTCCACCTCGTCAACATAAGGTCCCCACCGTCAACATAAGGTCCACCTCGTCAACATAAGGTCCACCTCGTCAACATAAGGTCCACCTCGTCAACATAAGGTCCACCGTTATTATTTATTATGCGAGTGTAAACCAGTCCATCAGACAGCAGCATGACCTCACCACCAGTGGTCCTTGTTCACGTGTTATTTTTCTTCTTCTATGGTGAATTAAATGTCACTGGACTGAAATCATTCGCTGGTTGCCGTGGCAACGGGACTGTAAAGCCTTTCACTGCGGTTGGAAAAGTGATGTCATCGTCACAGAGAGCTGGGACACTGGAGAGGGGGGTTGTGGGTAATATGTGGAGAGGAGGGTTGTGGATAATATGAGAGGACCAGACCTCATTCAGGCTTCACTTGTTTTTAACTCTTTTTACACTTCTGTGTATATGTACATTAAGTACACCGTTTTACTTGAGGGATGCAGTACAAGTACTGTTTATATATATACACACATAGTATATATATTTAAAGTATTTATGAACCAATCATAGAGCAGAACACATTTCTGGATCCTGGTTTTCTTTCACACTTAAATATTAATAATATTATCAATACTGTCACAAGTATTATTAATATTGTCATTATATATATATATAATTTACTGTTGTCAGTTAAACAGTTTAAATATTTGATTAGAATTAAAAAGTTAAACTCAGGGGTTGTTTTCAGTCTGAGTTCATCTTGTATCTACATGTGTGTATATATAAATATATATTTTAACGTATCCAACTTTCTGTTATTGTTTTTGCTGCTTTGACTGTCAAAACACTTTGTGAACTCTGTTTTTAAAGGTGCTTTATAAGTTATTATCTTCCTCACTTTAATTGTCAGCTGAATATTAATATATTAAATGATAAACTGACCTGATGGACCGTGAACGTCATCATCTTCCTCGCTGACGTTACCGTGACATATACCGTTAAATATGTCACGTGTTTCTTCATCAGCTGTTCGGTGTTAAACTGATGTTATGTCACATTGTCTCAAAGTAGTACTCTAGTGCAGAGGTCTTCAACAGGGGATACTGCAGGGGGTCCGCGAAATGTTTGGTTGATTAGACAATTAAAAAAAAAATTAGAAATTCTCTAAACATGAATGTCTCCATTATTTTAATAGTTCAGTGTTGTATGAAAGATAACAGGTATCTTTATGCATGGCAGTGGCACTAATAGGACATCACTCATTTTGGTTTCCACATTTATGTTTCAATGAAAACATCAGTGTGAATAGCTTGTATGATGATTATCATGCAATTAACAGACAATGTTGATATTGGCATTGGTATCAGCTGACAAGGTATGTTCATCAATGGCAGTGGCACGGCCTCCCTACTCACTGTACCTTGCACATGTTTAACATAACATGAATATATGAACCTGTGTACTATTTGAATAGCTTAGTATTGAATGCACAATAAAGAGGTATGTTTATACATGGCACTAGGCCCAGTTTAATATAATATACAATTTTATACAATATATATAGTCGGGGGTCCCTGCTCCATCTCGCTATCAGTTTGGGGGTCCTTGGCCTGAAAACATTGAAGACCCCTGCTCTAGTGTATGGAGTACTTCTACCAGTACATATCGAGTACTTCTACCAGTACATATCGAGTACATCTCATAATACTAAACTTGTAACAAACATGGCGGCTCCTTCAGAAGCTTTAAACCTTAAAGTCTTCTTGTTGAAGTGTTTGCTCTCACTTGAGCTCCTCGTGCAGCTCCTCAGCACACCTGCTGCAGCTCCTCACAGGAAGTGACGTCACGCACTGGCAGGTAGGAAAGACGCGTCGGGTGATTAAATAAAATAAAATAAATAATATAAAAAGAAAAGAAAACACATTTCCTTTTTTTATAAAACGATCAAAACTTCTTTATTGTTGAAAATCAATAAGTAGAAAAACATCAACAGCATCACAACAAACATGAATATAACTCAACGTTAAAGGAACAGTTCAACCAGGGAGGAGGAAAAACCCCTTCAAAATAAAGCGTCACCACTGTGGTCTGGACAGGAAGACAACCGTTTTTTAATCAAGATTTATTTTTTCCAGAACCTTCAGAAAACATACAAATATTTCTGTCACCTAGTGGTTCCACCTTAAATCTTTCCACCTTAAGAAGATTTCCGACTATTCTGTGAATTTGTATTTTCAAAGTTAATCTCTTAACTAATAAAGCGTTCAAAAAAAATGCAACAATTAAAGTTATTTAATCGCCAACAAATCATATTTTTAGTTAAATGTGGATATTGTGAATTTGGCCGTTAGCTAACCTTCTCTTTCTGGTTATTTTTTTCATTGAATAAACTTCATTGACGTTTTGATTTCTACTGTTAAGTTTCTAATAAAGTCTCACGACCATGTTACGTAGTTTGAAGGCTAGTTAGCCACGTAACTATAGAAACACCTGACCGCTAGTTCTTGCTAATGTTGCGTTAGCTTTGCTTGTAATACACAAACAACTTTAAGTTCAGAGTTTATTTTCTTCTTCCATAAATCAGATTTTGTTCGGTAAAATAAAGAAAGTGAGTTGTTCAAACAGATATTTTATGATTTATTAGCATTACGCTGCACCGTTAGCTTCCCCCGATGCTTTAGCATGAAGAACATTTTAGTACCGTAGAAGAAGAATGGTCATGTGGAGGGAAATGCATCTGCAAATATACATATAAACACATTTCTGTTGTGCAAATGTGGATGGCTGAGGAAGCTTTTGGTACCAGACATGATGGTTTATTGTTTTTCTATTATTATGATAAACCTACACAATAAACTGCAGAGAGTAGCTAAAGCTAACGCTAACATTAGCCTGGGTTAGCGTTTGTTCTCTGAATCTTAGTTTTTGTCTACTGATGAAGTTTACTTTAAGGTCTGTAATGAATATCACTTGTTCACCACATCCAGCAGGACGTCTACTGGTCGCCACTAGAGAACTGGTTTTACTGGTCAGCTCCCAGTTAAGAAAGTCCAGCAGGACGGTTTCTAGTTTTTCAAGAGAAATGAGCTGAAAACAAATAAAACAGAAGAAGACCACTTCCTGTTAGACCTCGTAAAGAAATGTAATCAAAGACCTTATGATAAATAATTTATGAAAATAGTTTTTTAGGGAGCCAGCTTCCCATCATTTTACACAAAATAAAATATATCTAGCACAGAGAAACCAAACCTTCCTCCTCTACTGAAGACGAGGCATGTTAGCTATATTTTAAAATGCTCTCTCGTTACTAATTCCCTGACGAGTATGTCCCGTACATGTTTTTACAGCTCTGGGTGACGTGGTGGACCACGGAGTCCTGAAGGTCTTTAAGGAACCCTGCTGCCGTCCCAGTCCGGGCGACGGTTCCTCTTCTGGGGTTCTCCGAGAACCACTCGGTCTGTTCACCATTTACCGGGGATGGGCGTCCCACACTCGTACCAGGAGGCGTAGTTGACGTGGGAGTGTCCTCCGATCTGTCCGAAGTGGACTGGCTCCTGACGCACGGCTCTGTAGAAACCTGGACCAGGACCAACAAGACGTACACCGTGAGAAAGACTTTCTATGGAGGGTCAAAATAAATTTTGTTAGGTCCCGACGGTATCAGGACTATGAAATAAAGGTTTTACCAGGTCTGGATGGTAGTGCGTATGAGCAAAAATGTGTATCACGGTATTTTTCAAGATTCTGGCAGTTTCACGGTATTATTTTTTTCCTTGACTGTGTTTTCTATAGGTTTATAGAGGCTTACTCTACTGTCAGAAGTACATAGAATATAAAAACATGTTAATGTCATCATGTATAAAGGCTTTGCTAACTATAGGGTGTGCTCGTTTGTTCCTATAATGTTGGGATAGCAGTTTGGCTGAAGTATTGTGGCCCCGGTCAGACGTACCATGAATCCAGTATTTTAATCATTGCTCTGAGTCTTTCTCCACTGTCTGTAGCGGGACCAGGTCCTTGCATAGCTGGATCGTTATTGCGTTCGTAATGTCGCTCCACCGCTTGCTTTTCTTGTCATAAGCTGCCTCGAGCTAATGCCTCTTCAAGCGATGTCTGACCCTTCGGCTTCACTGTTTCACTCACGTTAACGTTACCGGTTGACGGCCTCGAATCCGACGGCCGTCATCACACTCTTGGTATTCCAACACATGTTTTCTGCTGAGGTGATGGAGTAAGTTGCTCGTGTTACCACCAGCTGCAACAACAGTGGCTCGACAAACTCGCAAAACGTCGGATTTTATAAAACCAAAACACTTCCAAACAGCTGACCCAGCTCCTCTCTTGGGCACAGACTCGGTGCATCTCCAGTCTGTCTTTGTTCATCCTGCATCGCTCTGTTCTGTTCTTTAATGTAGCGTTACTGTAGCGACGGAGACTCTCTCAACTGTTAACAGACTGTTGTGCTAGCGGGCTGGCTAGCGAGCTGTACCCAGCATGCCGTTCGGCGGTGAAATTTTATAAATGTACAATTATTAGTGTTACAAATTGTTTATTTGTCACAAACTGTTGTGTCGTGGTGTTTTGCCCTGTTAAAGAGCGTTAGTTGTGGGTTATTAATTGTTGTGTTATAAAGTTATAACCATGACTAGGAGTCCCTCTCAATACACTCAACACAACTAGCTCCGACTGTAGCCTTCTTAGCAGCGAACAATATATTTAGCTGCCTGTTGAAGAGTGACAGCAGTTGTTTCTATGCACTGGTATGACGGTGTGTCAAAAATTCATATCATAAGGGAAATTAAAACCAGTATACCACCTAGCACTACTGGACGGTATCAGGACTATGAAATAAAGGTTTTACCTGGTCTGGACGGTACCAAGACTCTAAAGGTCTTACCAGCTCTGGATGGGAGCTGGTCTGCTCTGAGCTGCTGGCCCGTTCTTCCATCCAGGAACGAATCGACAAACTGACAGTGATCCTCACCGAAACCAGTCTGATCTCCGATGTTGTGGAATTTACCTGGCAGGTAAAACAACCAGAGAGGGGTCAGAACCGGATCCAGGTAAACCCCTACCTGAGGCGAGACGGGTCAACACTACTCACCGTTGAGCGAGTCACTCAGGTAGATCTTGTACCGGAGCGAGTTGCACAGTTGGACCCCGACAAACTTCCGGTACCAGGTTCTCTTCACGTACTGTTTCCCGTGGCAGTCCGAGTATGAGTCCGTCTTAAAGGGGAACTGAGTCCAGATGGCGTCTTTGCCTGCAGAGATTATTGATTGATCATCAGGATGTATTGATCATCAGGATGTATTGATGACACTTTGGTTATTGAATCGTACCGGAGACGTTCTCGCTCACTCGAGGATCCGCTGATGAAGGAAACAAAGAAGAAGAAACGTTCATGGTCTTAAAATGTGATTTAAGGTCTTTCTTTGTTCAAGTGTTTTATTTTGAAATGTAAAGCAGGTGTGTTGACTTTTATTTTGAAATGTCAAGCAGGTAGTCTAAGTGTTACCATACCCGACTCTGTGTTGAAGGACACCGGGTCACTGGAAGGACCTGTACCCAGCTCGTTCTTTGGCTTCACCTTAAACTCATAACTGCAGAGAAAATGTATAAATTAAGTTATTAAAACAGAACGATGTGAAATAATAATTTAATTACTTTACAGCAGCTTTAAAATAATAACCGTCCACATGCCGACATTTTAACGTCGTCTACTAATCATTCTCTCACAGCTTCCTGTCGACGACGGTTTTAGTAGCAGAAGAAGAAAAACATATTCAGGCTCATTAGAACTTCAGGGAGCGTAACGAGCTCGTTTTACTCTCTGAGTCGTGACTCTCGGGTCGACTCGTGTTTGGACAGCTGGAGGTCTGAATACCTCAGGAGGTGCAGCATCAGGACCGTGGAGCTGATCTGGACTCTAAAAACAGCTTCTTATAGAACTTTAAATCTTCTGTTTATATTTGGCACTAAATCATTTTTTATTTGAGAATTTATGATGATCAAATGACCAAAACCAACAGATCTGCAGCTAACCAAGGCTACTGGGGCTCCTAAGGCTCTGGGGCTCCCCAGGGTCTGGGGCTCTGGGGCTTCTAAGAATCTGGGGCACCTGGCACTGCGGGTTTGGGGTACTTGGTAATCTGGCCTTGAAAACTAGTTCAAATAGCATTTACAGATCAAACTAATCTGAATCTGAAAAGTCTGAGCAGAGATGGTTTGGTTTACACAAGTTTTGCTCTGGTCCTGGTCTGGCCTTGATTTCAATCCATTCGAGACTTGATCCAAACTTTGGGGGACCTGGTCTAGGCTTGACCAAAGCTCTGGAACTATACAAGGGTAGATTCTCACCTGCTCTCAGGTTTGAGGTTCTCCACAGTGGTGTGGGTCTGGTTGGTGGTCAGGATGGAGACCTGCTCGCCGTCGGGTCCTTTAGAGGTGGAGATGACCTCATACTCTGAGAGTCCGGATCAACAGAACCATCAGATACTCTTCTTAGACCTCAGACTACAAACTAAAAGAGCATCTTTTACCCGTGGTGTCGTTATCGGTTTTCTCCCAGTCCAGGATGACGAAGGACGGGCACCCCTCCACCGTCACCACGGTGAGGTTGGAGGGCGGAGACTTGGGTGGAGCCGTCAGGTTCGCATTGACGGCTTCGTCTACGGGGAAGTAGTTGAGGGAGGAGGTGATGGAGCAAGGCTCATCCGGCTTCTTCCCCGTTTGGTAGACGACGTGAGGCGCTTTGAGAGGACAGGGATTAAGGTTTCGGTTAATCCAGCACTGCCAGGGTTCAGTTTCAAAGTACTCGGATACATTAACAGCAGTATAACTCACCCACGTAGCGTTTCTTGCCCAAGGCGTCGACGTCAGTGGCCGGCTGGGACTTGAACAGGTCTGAGTCCTCCCAGGTTTCCTGTCGACTGGCTGAAGAAAGAAATGTAAACTGGTTTTAGAAGATGGTTTCTTATCTTTCTGTATTTTGCTTTCAAAATATTGGCTGCAGTTCAACCAAACAACCAGAAACCACGTCTGCCGGCATTCTAACGTAAACGTGAAAGTCTTCCTACCGGTTGTGGTCGGCGCTCCGGTTGTGGTCTGTTTCCGGTCCAGTTTGGTGGGCTTGATAGTTGCTGGCGGGGAGGCTTTGGGTTTCAGGACCGGCAGCTTGTCCGTCTGCTTAAAGTTGTTCACCTTGTCTGATGGAGAACATGTAAAATAAAAAAACAGTGAAGAAGAGAAACGTCCAGATATTGTTGGTCGTCCCTCGACTTGTCTTCAGCTCTCACCGGTTTCTCCTGGTTTTCCCACCAGATTCGGTTTCTTGTTGATCGGTATCGACGGGCGAGCAGGTGATCCTGGAACGAACAATATCAGATATTATTATGATATATTATGAATATCTGTATGGAACATTAATGGAGAAAACGTAGAGCTCTATGGGTGGTGCATTAAATATCTTTATTTAAGTTTCTCCTGTCGACACTTTCTATCTCGATAAAGCTTTGATTCTGGATTAATTTTCTCTTCTCTAATCTCCTGGAAAATCTGCTCTTTCCTCCCGAAGAACAAACCCCAACACATTTCTGATGAACATGAAAACATGAACAAGGTCCCATGTGGTTTTCTACAAAGACTGAAGTCCAGAACCTGCAGCCAATTACACCCCTCCCCCCTTCCTGCTCTCAATTTAAGGAGAAGCCAAAATTCTTCACAATCAACGAGTTGACCCGGCTCCAAAAGTAAATGGAATAAATGTGAAGCCAGAAACATGACTGATGATGGAGTCCTGAATGTTTTGAGCTCGTAACATGAAACGACGAATTATTCTCAATCAGTTCATCATGTAAATATGAAGACGAAGACGGCCGGTGGAGACTTCTATTATTCCTCAACACTTAAACATGGACCTGTCGTAGACTGGAACCTGTAATTATGTTCACCAAGGCCGGGTCATTACAGTACCAGACTAAATGAAATATAAATATTGTTCTGATTTTCTCTTTTCACACACAAACAATAAAAAAACATTCTTATGTAACCAGCTCGATGCACGCCATGCCGTCCTGGTAGCGTGACGGGTTTCGTAAACACGTCATGCTCACGATGCTCGAGATCCAAAACCCTGAAGCACTAGGACCCCGGACCTTCAAACGGGACCAGAAAAACCTGAAGAGGTCCAGGTTCCAGACGGCGGGATCGTCGTCAACAGCTAATTACAAACAGCTTCTTTCCATTTCTGTGGCGAGAAAAAGTGCAAAGATCTGCAAAAAATGTGATCAGAGGAACACAAAGTATTTTCCACAGGCTCAGCTGGAGCTTCTGGCCAAAGCTCTCAAGCTGACAGCCAGTTCTTTCTTCTTTTTTTTTTGCTTCTGAACACTTAACACGACCGAACCGTGCAGTCTTGGCAGCTGAAGCACCAGTCTGCACGCTGCATGCAGAGAGGCCGGACTCATGAATTCACAACCAATAAACTGATCCTCACCGGAGGTATCCGAACGGCCAAAGACGTCGAGCAGCTCGGACCTCTTGTTCTCCAGAAACAAGTTGTTCACTGCAGCTGGAGAAGCACTGCAGTTAAAACTCTTGGACCAGAACGTCGGCTTTATCTGAATCACTGATTCCTGTCAGAATGTTCTGGACTCCTATACTTCTACATACGATAACAAATAGACGACACCAGAAACCAGCGGATGCCGGCTGCACAAAGACCACAATGACCTGTACATTGTGGACCATCTTAATAGTCTCTGAGTCCTTTGAGCTGGTGATCTGGATCCGATTGGATCCTCCAGACCACATCTGAAGATTCAACATGTTTCTGAATCCAAAAACAATCTTGTTTGTGTCGCAGTAAACATTTTTATGTTAATCCGGATGGTTCAAAAATTCTTTAGGATTTAGGAAAAAACCATATTCTATAAAAACAGACATATTATAATACAATTTATTAACCTCCCTCACTCTCTAGACACGTTTATTTTAAAATGTCATGGATGTACAAAAGTGGGTATTTTTTAAGATCCTATGGGAAACTTTAAGAGTAACAGGAAAAAAGAAGTAATAACTGCTTTGGACAAGAAACACAATAAATCGGTTGGATTCCAAGATTCTTGTCTGAAGTAAAAAGTCCAAAAGACAAAGTTTAAAGTGGAACCTAAGTCAATATGTAGTTCTATATCTACGGGTTCTAAGGTAAAGAAATATAAAACGTGATACATGTTTGTATTTTTATGTATTAAACAATCTTTAACAACCACCATCACAACCCCCCTTGGAATCCCACCCACTTTCAGTGTTTCTTGT